GTGGGACATCATGCTGTGATGGGCCTGGAGCTGCGATCAATACATTCCCATTAAAAAAACGCGCAGCCCGGAAAACTTCGCGGGCGGTCGATACGTAACAGGTGTTACATGTCTGGTTAATGGATGTTATTCACAAAGTACACGCTAGCGCACCCCTACCCTCAAACTCCATCATTACTCCCCCTCTCATCCACCAACACCCCTATCCGTTTACTATTAAACATACATACAATCAAATAAACAGTGTCTTTTATTTTAAATACCATACATCAAAGAAAGGAAATATATCAAATAAATAAATAAACAAAAGTAATTAAAATCAAATTACGTAACTAGTTAATAATAATTTAACTAATTATAAAATAAAATAAAAAATAAACAAAATAAAAATAATTAAAAAGTAAACAAATAATCAAATTACGTAACTCGTTAATAAAAATTACACAATATAAACAAAGTAATTAAATTAAACAACAAGTAAACAAACAAATTAAACAAAATAAAAATACAATCAAAGTAATTAAATTACGTAACTCGATAATAAAAATTAATTAAAATTTTAAAAACTCATTAAAACTCATTAAAAAACGCATTAAAATTACGTAACTAGGTCAGTGATTACGTCACAAGGTCACTAATTACGTCACAAGGTCAATGATTACGTCACAAGGTCACCAAAAGGTGACTCACCCTGACCTACTTCCCCACCACCTCCCCCACTCTAGGGTGGGGGAGTATTTTACTATATGTCATTGTCCCTGCGGCGCATCCACCTCCACCACCCTCCACATCCTGCTCCCCCAGGCTGGGAGTATTTTACTATATTTCATTGTACCAGGCTCCACATCCGCCTCCCCCAGGATGGGGAGTATTTTACTATATAACCTTTGCGCATCCCCACATCCACCTCCACCACCACCATACGCTCCAAAAGTGACCTAATATACTACTGACCTTTACAGTTTTTAAATGTCTCGATAAGTCTGACACTGGGATATTGAACATGACAATTTCGGAAATTTGGACAAATGGAGGAACATCTTCTTTGTTTTTAATTCTAATGGTGGGAGAGGAGATTCCTCCCCCCCCCCCACCCAACACAATTAATTTAAGTAATACGTGTCAACTGGTTATGCGCCATACAAGCCGTTGACTCCGATTTCAGCCTGCTTTTCTTTTTGGATTTGCTTCCATAGCCTTTGTCCAACCAATTATAAACTACACGGCAGCAGTTGTTTGATTTTGGAGCTATCTCACAAGTCTCACAAGACCTAATATACTACTAAGGTCTTCCTAAATTTTCTAATGAATCGTTGGGTGCTTGTATTACATATTATCCCATTGAATTTTGAATTACATATTGTCCCATAACATTTGAATTTTGAATCACACATTTTCCTATAGCTTTTAAATTGGGTATCATAAACTATTCCATGACATTTGGTGTTAATACTCCAGATTATTCCGCGTCGTTCATTATTTATTTTTTAAATAATCACACATCGTTTTGCGTCTCATATAGGGCCTAGTATAGATCTAATTAATTAACTAATTACTTGTTGGTTCTTACAGTTCTTGATCATCTAATGTGGATTCAATAGACACTAATTAGCACGCGGTCGTAAGGTTTTTTTTTTGTTTTTATAGTAAATTGTTAATAACTACAAATAAACATGATTGATATGGCCTTCTGTGTGTTTAGGTACAACATATAGGGGAGAGAATTCTCACAGATGAGAGCAAACTCCAACACGATCGAGCGTTCCTTCAATTGCTTTTAACAAATTCAATGAACTACCTTCTGAAGGTATTTAAAATAACTTTTGCCTTTAACTTACATTGCAAAGTTTAGAAATATTTTGATCACAAATTAAATGTAACAGTTATACTAACCTTTTGAACAATCAGTTTCTACATCATAAATAAACTTAAAATAAAACAGAATTTTCTTAACTGAGATTTAACCCACAGTATACACATGATACTCATCTAGTGATCACAAACCTTAATACAAAACTAGGAAGAATGTTTGCTCTGATGTGTTTCATTGTAATAACACTGCTTAAAATGTGTATCATTGTAAATCTGTAATCACAAATTTATTTCAGCTCTACTTAAAACCCCAAATTCCACACCCCCCCCCGTCACCCGTCCCCTCAGCCCACCACGCACGCCGGGAAAAAAAAATCCCTTGAATCATCATTTAATTACACATTTGCATTTTAAGTTTCAGATTGGTTTTTAATTTTTATTTTTTCTTTATATTTAGACGTTTTGTATTAGATCTATGTATAAGTAAACAATCTTAAATGAATGAAAGCAGGCTACAAGTAAGAAAGAAATATTACTATTGTAAATCTGTATCAGTCCTCACAAGCCGATGATGAAAACTGTAATACTAAAGCGAACACACAACTGACGCTATAAAATACTATAAATTACGTGTCTGAGGCGGAAAAAAATAAACCGGGAGTGATCTCCCCTAAACTTTCTCGAATATTCTTATATAAAACAACAAGGGATGGGAACTCGGGCTATAGTCATGATTTTTAATCCATTTTAAATACTTAAAGTTTTAAAAATTGAATAAAATCTCGTAGACAAAAGAATTGCACACCAAGTGAACGCTAAATAAAAAAGTGCATAATAGTGCGCAATATTATTAGTACTTTAAAAATTTACATTCGTTTTTTTGAGAAATCGAAAGTAGCGTAAATTACTACTTCCGATCAACGGAAATGACTCAAAATTTAACAGAAGGTAGAGAATTAGATCTTTTACTTACATGTGAAATTTCGTTTATCTATCTGAAATAGTACTCAAGTTATAGGCTTTTGAAAATTTCAAAGTAGAAAAAGTATCACTTTCGGTTATCGGAAATCGCTCAAAAGTTGATACGGATCTACGATTTTGATAAAATACTTTTATATGAAATTTCATTAACCTAGCTGTAACGGTACTCAAGTTATCGTGTTTACACACAGACAGACAGACACACAGACAGACACACAGACATACGGACAGAATTGCAAAGCCCCGTTTTTCAGAATGGATTACGCACAAAACCTCTTAATTTTGATAAATCTGGATTGATAATTTTTGCCCGATTAAAATAAGTCCTCTATACTTCGGATGTGAAGAAGGACTGAGTTGTAATACGGTGAAAATTGTTAAAATTTCAAGTGATTTTTGCGCACGATTACAATACTTTCTCTATGCTTCGTATATACGAGAAAGTAAAAAGGTTAAAAAAATAAAAAAAAAAAAAATAAAAAAAAAAAAATAAAAATATAAATACAAAACTACCTAATAAAAAGGCCTCTGTTTGTGTTGCCTGGATGATCCTTAGGAACAACTCCCCTACTTTGTAGAAGAGGAGTAAACAGAATATGAGCCTTGAACCCAACAACCTTAAAGAGCTGCAACTCTTTCCGTTACAATGGTCTCATTCATCGCGAGACAGTTGGGGTTGAACCCACAAAGATGGCAAAGGTGTTGTGTTGGCTACTCGCAGAACTAAAGACCAGAGAGGGGGGTCCGTATTTTTGTGACGGTGTGTGATGAGCGGGCGGGGGGGGGGGGGGGGGGGTTCAGATGGTGTGACGTCACACTTTTGCATTATAAAAAAGCAATGTTAGACAACATTAATTAACATTACATTAAAATACTTTATGTTGACAGAGTTCTGACAAGATTCTGGGAAAATATCGATGTTTAAAAAAATTCACAAGCAATTTTGAGGGGGCATTAGCTGAGGTGTGACGTCATTTTAGGGGGGGGGGGGGGGGGTCTGGCTTTTTGTGACGACGTATGACGGAGGGGAGGCGGGGAGGTAAAAATCGTTTAAAAAAGCGTGACGTCATTTATGGATGACCCCAAGATGTACATTCGCATCCATTCGCGCCATCTTGTGAGCCAACAACTATAGAAAGGATTTGATTAACCCAGCTGTTAAGAGAACCTGTGCTATTCTGAAAAGTCAGAACCTGTTGTAATTAAAAGCAGGGCTCGTACCGCAAAAAAAAAAAGAGTAATTCTATGTGAAATTAAATATCCAAACACTAAAAAAAATACAAAAAAAAATACAAAAATACAAAACTAACTAAAAGGAGGAATAAGGCTAAATGACATTCATGCAAAAATAAACTTCTTCCGATTAAAATATCTGGATAGGGATAGCATAAGGATAGAACCACATAAGCACGATACTACATAGGGTTGAAAATAAAGAGTATTCTAAAATTATACATCACAACAACACACTAAGGGGGAAACAAAAGCATTTGGGGAAAACACACAAAAACATACGCATCCTAATAAACAAAAAGCGACACCCTTATACACCAGAATTAGTTGGGCCAGGGAACACTATATAATAGACTTAAATGATACATCTAGAAACCTACAAATTCAACGCATTACACCAAAAGAAAGGGAAGTAGCATACAGACTGATCTTTAAGACAACACCAGTTTCGCGGAATATAAAGCTAAACCAAAATGTAAAAATAACATGTCAAACAAGTTAACAAAATATATACAAGAAACTGATAAACATTTATTTTGATTGTAAGTTAGTACACCATCTTAAATAAATTAAAGTAGGATTCATGTAACAAAAAAGTATTACTATTATAAATCTGTATCAGTACTCACAAGCCGATAATGAAAATTGTAATATTAAAGCGAACATGCAAGGCAAACTGACGCTGTAAATGACTTGTCTGAGGCGGAAAAAAAAGTTTGAAACCCAAAAACAAAAAAGGAATTAATTTTTAAAAATGTTTTTTTTAAGTCAGACTGATCGAAGAATAATTTGCTAAGTATAAAAATAACGTTTTCTGGCTTTTGTGTTTTGAGAACAATTCCTTTGAATACCTGGCTAATGCTGTGCGAGAAGAACTGAATAACAAGAACTACATGCTCGAGATGTTCAAGAAGATAATTGATGATACGGAGACGATCAAACTTCTTAAGGTGAGAACATCATTGATACACGGAGACGACCAAACAGCTTAAGGTAAGAACATCATTGATGATATAGAGACGATCAAACTTCTTAAGGTGAGAACATCATTGATGATATAGAGACAATCAAACTTCTTAAGGTGAGAACATCATTGATGATATAGAGACAATCAAACTTCTTAAGGTGAGAACATCATTGATGATATAGAGACGATTAAACTTCTTAAGGTGAGAACATCATTGATGATATAGAGACAATCAAACTTCTTAAGGTGAGAACATCATTGATGATATAGAGACGATCAAACTTCTTAAGGTGAGAACATCATTGATGATATAGAGACGATCAAACTTCTTAAGGTGAGAACATCATTGATGATATAGAGACGATCAAACTTCTTAAGGTGAGAACATCATTGATGATATAGAGACGATCAAACTTCTTAAGGTGAGAACATCATTAATGATATAGAGACGACCAAAAGAAAAATGTCCAAAATTAAGAAAAATGTCTAAAAGACCTTCCCAGAATAAAAATGCACAAAAGACATTCTTCCCAGAAGAAAAATTTCTAAAAGAAAGATTAACTTCACCTGCCAGGTCAGAAAGTGTAACTTTCTTCTCAATTTCCCCCAGAAAGAGCGGATACAGATCAAGAAGCGTCACGCCAAAGAGGGCGCCCTGCTGGACGCCCACATCCACCAGGTCAGGGATCAGCTGCTAGAGATGAGCTGCAGGAAACCCATGGAGGCGACCTTTACACAGAAATTTGGTGCGTAACTTGATGCGCACCTAATGCGGACACAATGCACAAACACGTAGGCCTACATTCTCCCCGCGCATACAAGTAAGATGCAAAAAGCACCACGATCATAATTGTTGACGGATTTAAAAAAAAAAAACGTGGGTTTGTTTCATGGGCAATGAGGTCTTGGAGTATGACCTTTTGACCTTTGTTTCAGGTGCTGTGATGGTGTCAAGGGTGAGGAAACGGTGCGCCAAGAGCGAGAAGGAGGTGGCCGATAAACTGAAGGAGACCAAGATGGCGGCGTTCACCGAGATCAAGTGCCATCAGAGTATGATGAGGATCATCGGCAGCCAGCTAGAGAAGGAAAAGGTAGGGGTTGCCCTTTACAGCCAGCTAG